AAAAAAAAAAAAGAATGATATAGAAGAGTGTAAATAACTACAAGAATAAAACGATAAATACAAAGGTCAAGTAAAACATATTTAGATAGAAACACATGCTTGCACATATATATAAATAGTGAGTGTGTGTGTGGTACGTATGTGGATAAATGCAGTGACGGTCTATGTATGTACCTCTCTTTTTTTTTTTTTTTTTTTTTTCTTTCTCTTTCTCTCTGTATTTATTCATCTTTGTTTTTATGTATGTATTTATAGATTTCTGTATAAATATACACAAAAATACACACAGAGAGAGAAGAGAAAAAGAAAAAGAAAAAGACATATATACACATACACACAGTAAAAGTGAAACGGAAGAAAAACAAAAAGAGTACAGGTTTCTGTGAACGGATGGAGAATACCACACAATCACAGATCAGCAACTTCTTTCTTTTTCCTCTGCCGTTGCCGTCATTCCTCGTACTAAAAACTGACGGAAAAAAGCAATACGAAGAATAATAAGAACAACACTACTACCAGCAACGTCAAAATAATAAAAATAAGAATTGGGTTGAATTATAAATAAGAATAATAATAATAATAGTAATAGCATCAACCAGAAACACATATAAATGTATAGAAAGAGTGATAAATACCCGCAGCAGAGATAATAAAAAAAAAAAAACATGTCAGGAAATATTCACCACTATCTTTCTTGTTCTATACTTGTTCTCTTTCTCATATATACAGAGAAAGAAAACTATTTTTTTTTTTTTTTTAAAGGTATGAATAAGTGTGGTTTTGTTCTCTCTCTTTCTCTCTCTCTTCATACACAGAGTGAAATATAAACAAAGAATTGTCTATATATATATATATATAAACACGCACACATATACATACATACCACCCCAACTAACACCACCACCACCATCATCAATATCAGCATACAAATAGAAATGAAATAAAGGATGATCTGAGAAATAAAGACAGACCTGCACATGAGGGGCGACTCATTCTTTTTTTCTTTTTTTTTCCTTTTCGGGGGGAATGATGAGTGAATAGCTACAAGGGAAAAACATCTGTAAGGTTTTATTTTTATATTTGTTTACTTTTTCTTTTCATTTGTTTTCTGTTTTTTTTTTCTTTTGTTTTGTTTCACTTCTAACGTGTGATTTTTTTTTTTTGGTTTTTGATTCATTTTATTATTTCTTTTTTTTTTTTTGTTTTTAGTTCTTGTTTTTTTTCTCTCTTTTCTTCGTTTTTTAAAAAAAAAAATCTTTTTTTGGTTGGAGCGTCTACGGAATCTAATTCAATTTATGAGTGTGCTGCCCGGTCAGACAATTGCCGTGAAATTACGTGCAAGAGTACATACCATCAGCATCAGGGATCTGAACAACAACAATAACAATAACAACAACAGTAACAACAAGAGTAATAATAAAAATAATAAGAGTAATAGGGAAAAAAGTAAGCACATTGATCTCCCTTTATTGCTTTGTATTACGCAGACTATTTCTCTTTGTTTTTTTTTTTATCTTTTCATTCTCGTCGAAAATAGACTTTTCTCTCTCTCTCTCTCTCTCTCTCAGTACTGATTTTCACATGGGTCAAAACAACATACATACATGCATACATACAAAAACAAACAAACACACAAATAAGAAAACGTGTGCACACACCTATATATATATATATATATCCTTATCTCAAAATTAAACCATATAGGAAGCCAAAGTTCCTACGTGCGGTGGTATAAATGAGCCATCATTGTTTTTACCTGGTGTAGTACCCTTCTTTGACATTTCAGCAGTTGTGATGGGTCTTGTAATGAAATGCGTAGGTGTTACGAGACTATAAGTAGATGGTGAGAAGGGTGAATACCTCACTTGCAGCTTTTGTTGTTGCTGTAACTCTTTCTTCTGTGTTGATGGCTGCTCTGGTGTGGAGGAAGCGGCTATAGAAGTGGTATGTGTATACATCTGAGTCTGTGTATATGGTTCTCTTACATCATTAGTGGAAAACCATCTTGATGGTGTTAAGGTCGCCGCGGCTGTTGTGTTTGCGGTGGCGGCAGCGCGATCATCATCACTTAAGGTCCAACAGCCGAGTCTTTCCGCACTGTCTTCCTCCATTCGCATAGCGGAGAAGAACTGAGAGACACGTGGATCTGTTAACATCCCTTCATTTACATATTGTGGTTGTGGTTGCTGTTGCTGCTGTTGTTGTTGTTGTTGTTGTCTAAGAACAGCAGCAGCGGTTTCTACGGAAGTATCACGGGTAACGGGTTCATCTAATGTAGTCATATCCACATCATCCAAAAAAGCCGTACGGTATGAAAAGAGCGTGCGATTCGTTGCAAATCTCTCATCTTGTTGTTCTTCTTCTTCCTCTTCTATTGGGTGTTGTTGGGGGTATAGTTGGTGTTGTTGTTGTTGTTCTTGTTTGTCTATGGGTGTGTCCAACTCCACATCTTCCATAAACGCACAAAGAAGATTCTTCGGCGGTGTTTCCCCGGGTGAATGCCACTCTGGAGATCCCGCAATTCGCATGCGGGCGAGAAACACCCGTTGTAATGAACGCAGTGTCTCCCGCTCTGTGTGGCTAATGGTCACACACACATCATCAGCGTCATTGCGGGAATCTACATCGGCGGTGGGAGTCGCTCCGGTGTTGTCCAGAATAAAAGGTATATGACTTCCACTACGAGCTTGTTGTTGTTGTTGTTTAGATGACCATGATGATAACGGGGATGATGGAGATGATGATGTCCGCTGCACCACCTCACGAATACCATGCAGCATGGCACTTACATCCGCATCATCATCATCATCATCATTGTTATTATTGTTAGTATTATTATTGTAATGTTCACCATTGTTAGTAGAAAGAACTCGTACATTACTTCCAGTAAAGTATGCAGCACTATCTCTATATCCCCCTACACTTCCTCCTACTGCCGCTTCAGAGTTGTAATACTGAAGATGTTGGTGTTGATGTGGTGGTTCTTGTTGTTCGGTAGTGTATGCATTTGGGTAGGGAAATGAACCCACAGAGCCCATCTCGGCATTGCCATTACCAGCAAGAGCCGAAACAGCAGGAGGAGGAATAGACATGAGAGTAGAGGAAGAAGCACCAAGTCCATGATAGTACATCTGCTCAGCATATGAAGGGTAACCACTATATCCAAAGTACTCTGTTTGTGCAGGATTTATCATTTGTGATTGTTGTTGTGGTTGTGGTGGTTGCTGCTGTTGTTGTTGTTGTTGATTATGTTGTTGTTGTTGTTGTGTATAGCAGTAGAGATCAGTAAGAAATGACTGTTGTTGTTGTTGTTGTTGTTGTTGTTGTTGTTGTTGTTGTTGTTGTTGATCCGGTAATTGGAGTACATTACCAGCTGTTCCCGTTATCATTTCCATGGGATTTCCATCTCGTCTATTTCTCCTTGTTGGATCAAACGTATCTAATCTGCCTCCCCGTGAGGAATGACCCAACATGGCTTGTAAAACCTCAAGACTGTCAAGTGGTAACTTCCCTGATTGAATCAACGACATCACATGAGCCTGAACACCACGAAAACCATCATATCCACCAAAAACATGTTGATATTGATTATGATGATTATGTTGATGATTATGATCACCAGTAAAAAACTCATTTTTCTTCCCTGTCATCATTGGAGAGACCTCTGTTTCCCCATCATAACTCCCTCTCTCTCCCGTCATATTGGTATGCTCAGTACTCTCAAACCGAGAAGGGAATCGTTTGTTAAAGTGAGACTTTCCACCAACTTGTTGTTGTTGTTGTTGCTGCTGTTGCTGCGGTTGGTGTTGAGATGCATACATGAAAAGAATACGACTGACTTCTTCAATGGTCTTTGCATCTCCTCCAGTGACATTCTCTTCAGCTGTACCATTACGTTTGGCGCGGAGATCCTCTAAGGAAACACCAGTCACTACTTTAGTGACAGTACTGTTTGGTTTGGGCCGTCGTCGCACGGATGTTCGATTCACTGGGCACTTTTCACCTACTGAATTTGAGTTCTCACCACGAACAGGCACAACTACAGTTTCTGTCTGCTTTGCTTTCACCTTTGGTGTTGTTGTTGTTGTGTTTGTGTTTATTGGTGTGGTTTCTGTTGGTGTAGCTGTGGAATCTTGTGGTATGCCACGCCGCTGAGCTCGACGAACACCACGTCGACTTCGCAGTGGCGCCGCATCTGCTGTTCCAGGAACAATAGGGGCAGAACTAGTGGTAGTAGTATTAGTATTAGTGTTAGTATTAGTATTAGTAGCAGCGGCAGTGGTATTAGTAGTAGCGGCAGCATTTGTACTTGTTGCAGTTACCTTATTGTTCTTTTTAGTTCGGCTACTTTCGGCTGAGACAACGTTGGCGAACGTCATTGGGAGTTTGTTTTTTACTGGGGGATTCATCGCCTCTAAATATAAGGTCGTTTTTCTTTTTTTTTCTTTTTTTAATGTATATGTATATATATATATATATGATTGCAGTGATATTTTATGTTTTTCTTCTTCTTCTTCTTCTTCTTCTGTCCTTGTATGTATATGTAGTTTATGATTTGCGTATTCACTCGTGTTTTTTTCTCTTTATTTTTTTTTCACTCTGTAAGTACGTTTTTAGTTGTGTTTATGCGTACGTACGGGCGTGATACCCTGGTCTTACCTGCCCCCTACGAAGAGTAAATAAATAAATAAAGAAAGAAAGAAAACAGAATAAGATATCCAAATGGAAAAAAGGGAGACATACATTTTTTTTAAAAAAAAAAAGGCTCCAAAGAAAGAACTAATGAACAAAAACTTCACACCACCAACAACAACTCTATTACACTCCTCAACACTCCTCAACTTTCACTCACATCCCAACTATCATTTCACAACTGCCAATTTCCTTTTTTGACTCTTTTTCTTGCGTCCTTTTCATGATTTCATTTTTTTTTTTTCTTTCTTTCTTGCCTCTTACCCATTATATATATATATATATATATATATATATATATTTATATAGATTATGGAAGCATTGGTTTTGGTGTTTCTGCCAGTTCTAATCGCTCATGTGTACCACTACCAGTGAACTTATCCACAACTTTTCCAAAACGTGTTACTTTCGTCCATTGCCGCATGGCACCATCAAACAACCATCGCCAGAGACGTGCCTGCAGTAATCCCCACGTTGTGGCATCACTCTCAACAAGTAATACAGGCCATGTAAACTCCATATGCTGGAAACGCTTAGGAATCATAAGTGTATATATTCCCAAAAGGTCCCACAGTGGATCTGGTTTGTGACGTGTAAAGGTAATGAAAAGTGTAACACGTGAGAATCGTGCTTGATCAATAAAAAGAATCACAGGTGCCCTATCAGCATTCATTGCAGAGGAAAAAGGAGAAACAACAGCAGTACTAGAAGTACCAGAAGCTGTAACAGAAGTAGTACTAGTACTCCCAGTAGTAGTAGTACTACTAGTAATAATATTCCCAGAATCTGGTTGACGAATATTATTTAATACTTCTCGTGAAAAAGCGTGTCGTGATAAAGATGTTAGTATGAATGAACCCCCCGATACCGTTGTATAACCATCACTACTACGATTACCACCTTTAATAAGTGGTAACAATAATAGTAAATCTCGCAACTCATTCCATAATGAAACAACAAAATGATCTGAAACATCCAAAGCGAAAGGAGAGAGTATACATGATAACTCCGTTACCCGCTTCCCTCCTCCTATACATCGCACCGCAGCGTATACTGCCTGTATGTCCTGTTGAGGTACCTCTTCACCACGCCAAAACCAGCGTAGAATACCACCTGAAACTTCTTCTGCAGAATCCGCACCTTCTGGACTCGCTCGATGAAAAACCACAAGAGCTGTAGTACCCGTATCCCGATCTCGCACATCTACAATCTGTAATCGGTGCAACATCATAGAGACAGTACTCGTATTCCCTGCGTTTAGTGTCTGTAGATTTAAGTCACGTAGCATTAATGAAACACGTGGACGGGTATTTGCCATTCCCTCTTCTGTAAGCCACAATACAAGTTCTAATGAAGGTGCAGAAAATGTGTGACCCACACTTGTGTGCCATGCTTCATCAAAAGAAGCATATAATGGAATTATTTCATCTGTTAAAAGAATTGTTACCCGCTCCACATCACGTGCATTTGAAAATGCAACTACGTGAAAAGGTGCAAGTATATCTTTTGTATCTTCAGAAGTAGCACATCGTCGTACTTCGGAGGTCCCACGTGAAAAGTCTACTTCAAACCATGCACCCTTATACCCAATAATATGAATTAAAATAACAGGAACAGCAGTACGATAATTTTCCCATAGAAAAAAACGACCTTGGCAAGGTGGTATAATACTTCGACGTGGAGTTCCTTTTTGTCGTACAGCAATAGCAGTATTTCGAGCACGATTCTGAATTAATATATTTGTGGCATGAAGAGTATCTATTACTACAGCTAATAGATTATTACTGTCCTGTACTGTTACACTGAGACGACCAGTAATGAAAGCAATGTCATCACCAGCGTACGAACTATCCGATGAGAAGGATGAATTAGATGATGATGATGATGATGGGGGTATTTCACTTGTTGGGATTGGTTTTGTTATTCTTGTTGCTCCTGAGGATAATAAAGATGATGATGATGATCCTCCCGTCACCAATGCTCCATAGGCAACAGAGGGAACTTTTTTTGGTGGCTTTAATGTTGCCCATAAATTAAACGTTGCATGTCCTGGTTCATCCACAGACATTGGTGTCGTACGGTGCACTTCATAAAAGTCTGAAAGATTAGTATGCCGTACGTTTCCACTAGAAAAAGAAGTAATAGATGGAACAATGTCTTCTAGTGTATCTTCAAAAGCGATAAAGTTTCCAACTGCCGTTCCAAGACAACTAAAGTGGTGTTCACCCGGACGAAGAGTTACTGGTGGGATATAACTAGAACCCAATGTCTCCATACTCAATATATCTCTACTTTTTCTTTTTGTTGTTGCTGTTGCTGTGGTGGTAGTGGTAGTGGTGATAGTGGAAGTAGAAGTGTCTTTATCATCTGATAGTTTACCCCATGATGTCCTCATCATTTTCTCCTTTTTCTGTTTCTCCTCTTCCTTATCGTTTGAGCATGCAAAGTAAATCTTCAACCGTCGGGAGGTGTTATTAACAAACACCCACCGTGGAGTAAGGAGCAACACCACTGGTCTTCCCTCCTGCACACGTGGAAACTGCATCACATAGTTGCAACTTCTCGTAATCCCTGCTTCCCGCCTGGAGGACTCGGCCACGCCGTTGGCGCCCGGGAGGGTCGGGATCTCCGCCGACCAGCCGCCATCGAGGCCGAGGGTGAGGGCGACGCCGGGGGTCTCCGCCAGGCGGCAGCCGATGGGAAAAGGGACGCCGGTGGAGGGGGGGATGCCGGTGTGGACCATCTGCCCGGCGGCGGGCCGGCGCGGGGGACTCGCCACCGCCAGGAGCACCGGGAACTCCGTCAGGTTCACCACCCACAGACCCACCGAGAGGAGAATGGTCCGCTGCATCACAGCGACCCGCACGTGGAAGCGGCGGCCGGCGGAGTCCCGCAGGGACAACACGGAAGGCTCACGCCCCACACGACGACGGAGACGGCCACACACCCGCACAGGTTCCTCAAGTCCCGTCTCAAGTGTCTCTCCACCCGTCTGGGAGAAGGAAAGGCTCATGTAGAGACTGGAATCGTAGGAACACTGAGATATGGGAAGGGAACCTTGATGGGAAAGAGCGTCATGGGAACCAATTTTTATAAGTCGTCCCTGTGATCCTTGTCCTGCAAGGAACTTCCAAAGTGAAGATTCACCACCACCACTACTTCTTCTTCTTCCTCTTCTTCCTTTTCCTTTTTCGTTCATATCGTCATTTTCTTCCTTTTCGTAGATTTCATCAGTTAAAGGTTCCTCTTGCCACAGTGAAAGCTTTACAGGAATACCAATATGATTTATAACTGTCATACGAGGAAGGAGAAGCACAACGGTTGAACCACTTTCTGCATATCGTCGTAACACTATGAATAACGATACTGGTAAAGTATTGTATCTTGCTGTACGTAAAGCTACATCTCCACTTGGCTGAAAATTCAAAAATACACCACTTTCAAGGGAAAGTGTACTAAGTGAAGCACTATAAAAAGCATTATTTAATGTAATACGAACTTCAACACGACTACAAGTTCCACAAAGAGGGTATTCTGTGTTGGGTAAAAAAATCCAAAAATCTTCACTTAATGGTATCTCATCTAATTCTCCAAAAATATGTTGACGTACTTCAATAATCATCCCACTGGCATTATATAATGCAGTACGTGAATGTACACGAACAACTACTAAACCTGCTTCATCCGCACTCACATATGAAGATCTTGAAGAATGTCCAAATAAAGGTACTTCTCTTGTATTATTATTTCCAAGAGAAATAGAAGCAGAAGAAGTACCTTGTAAATTTATGTTAGGTTCTGGTAATAAGGATGGATTACTCATATAATTATTTTGTGTTTCTACACATGACATTACCACAAGAAGATCATCTATAACAAGACCTACAGCATGTCCATATTGTAATTCACTCACTACGACACTAGAATGACGCATATCTCTAAGTAAACCTTCATCATTGCGAACATGTCTTCCATGTTCATCCAAGGTAATACAATAGCGTGGATAAAGGTAAAGCCGAATTTCATCCGTTTTATTATATGGAATAGTAAGATCTACTGCTGTACAAGAAGGAAGTGGAATAATTTCACCTTGATCCAAATCTTTACCAATAAAAAGATAAAAAACATCACTAAAGGTATTAATAAAACGATGAGTAGCAGTTCCTAAAGAAAAAGCATTACATAAGAATGATCCACCAGTTGTTAATTTATCTTGATATTGTCTCATAGCTAACTGTAATTCCATCCATTGTCGATTAATATGTATCATCTTGGAAAGTAATAAATGTGAAGTATATATAACTAAATCATCACATTGTAAACGATATTGTGTGGTTCTAGTCTGTTTAAACCAAGAATGAACGGCTTCAAGAGTAATAGCTGCTTTAGCTGGTATAACAGTATCCCATCGTCCTTTTCCATATACTCGAAGAAAAAGTTGTTGATGTTGTAACAAGGTAGTTCTACTTCTTCGAAACATAGTTATCTTTAAAACAAGATCTGATAATGTTACCTGTAATAATGGATATTTAAGACTTCCAACTGTTACATCCATTAATGGTGAGAATGCAGCTAAAGAAAACTTGGGTTTTACGTGTTGTTCATCTTCACCTTGTGTTTCCTCTGTAAAACGAGGATCTATTTCTTCTTGATATACTCCTTCATTCACAGCAACACTTTTCCATCCCATAATTCGTTGAATCTGAAGTTCAAATTCACGTTCTGCAGGAGAATGTCGGAACAATGTAGTCTGACGCATAATATCGGTTCCCTCTTGTAATATAGAATTTAATAATTGTAAATCGTTTATAATAACATTAACTACAATTGGACTCATTGAGAATGCAAAATCACGATTTTCAGAACAATTAATACAAATAGTAATAGGATTAATGATAGTATTTTCTACTACAGATGTTGATGCTGCTGCTGCTGTTGATGTTGTTGATATTGACAGTGATGTTGCTAATGGTTGTTGAAAATTAGTGTTTGTTGATGCAGAATCGATGGTTCGACTAATAAGAGTAAAATTACCAATAGAAGCCTCACCATTTTCAATTAACCCATTACGTAAAAGAAGATTAGCTTCAATAGCAAGATTTACTTGAAGAGTACCATGTTCTTCTTGAGAAGACAAATATACAGAAACAGAATCAACTCCTAGAGATAGTTTCCATGGTTGATTATTTTTCTTTCTTTTAGGAATATATTTTTGTTCCTGTAAAATACATCTTTCAGATGTGGTATACCGTATATTATGAGAGAGAATAAAACTTCCTTCACCTATTGCCATAAAGGGGAGCAACAATACTTCCTCTCCCATACGTTCTACTCGACGTAATTGATGTTCTCCAGAAGCAAACCATGGTAAAATAAAACGACCACCGGAAAAGGTTAAAGAAAGTCCTCCATCTACTATCATTACAACATCCGCACCAGTCCCTCTACGTGCAGGTTCTATAATAATAGAATGTCCATTCATCTCTACATGAATATTGTTAGTGTTGGCACTAGAAAATAGTAATACAAAACCATCATCACGACTAAGTAATATATCATGAGTTAATTCCCATAAATTTGTATTAATAGTAATAACAGTCATTTTGCGTTTTTTTCCTGTATATTGTTGAAATTTTATATCCGTGTTTGGATGCATTGTTACCCAATAAAAAGGTGCAATCTCCTCTGCTGGAATTTTAACAAGTACATCAAAGCTACTTAAAATAGAAAGAGCATCAAGTTTCATTATCAAAGACTCTATAGCGCATACTATACCAGATAATCCATGTTTAGAAGTAGCTATACGTGAGTAATCAAATTTTAATCCACAAATAGAAAATATATTTAATTCACGACTACAACCCAATTTGGCCTCTTGCAAGAAAAATGAAATTTTATTTGAAAATATTTGAAATACCATTTGTTCTAGATCCAACCAAACTACTGACCTTATTTCACTTTCAGGGTTATTTGCATCTTGACTTCCATTCACAGTAATTTTTACTCTAGTAAACTCTACAGAGAAGCGCCGGGTAAAGGAAACATCATCATTATCATTATCATTACTAAAGATTGATGATTCCATTGTATTACTATGCAAAGACTTCATATTTTTCATTTCACAAATAGAATTTTCCATAACAGAAGGTATTTCAGTTAATACATCGGTTTCTGTAAAGATTTTTCCTCGTTCTCGTACCACCCTTACGGGATCTTCTCTCTTAAACTTTAAATGATATCCAAATAGTTCAAAGAGATGTAAATAGGTAGAAGGAGATAAGATTGAATGAATGGGTGTAACTACTACACAGAGTTCATTATGAGCAGGTATATGCGTCGTAAGGGAAAATGTCTCAATAATAGGTACAGTTTCAATATCATTTTCAAATATCAAGATAGATGGTCCTTTTTCAATCCCTTCACTTTTAGAAAGATTATTAAACCATTTTAATACTACACTACCATCATTTAAAGTTGTAGCTCCATTACTTGTCAAGGTTAAACCAAGAAAAGCAGAATGAATCATTCCATAAAGTTCGTTAATTCGGCTATTCCATGTAAATCCAAAATGAACTTCTGAAATAATAACTTTCATAGAACTTTGATTAATATCAGATGAAACAACGACATCATCTTCAGATAATGATGATGATGACAATACTCTTGAAGGTAATGATGGAATATTAGAAGAAAGAACTGCATAAATAGTTGCAAATTCTTCTGATAATAAGGGTAACCTCTCCTCAGTTATATGTAAAAAAATACCACCTATTGATATCAATATACCATCAATATTAGAAGTTTTAGTTATTGTCATGGAATCTTCCTCCTTCTGTCGATTTCCAGAGATTTCTAGAAAGGCTCCAGAGAATCTTATAGAAGCAAAAAGTTCCCACAAGGCTTGTACTCCAATATCCTCATTCAATTGTAACAATTCATCACATAAAAAAGTAAATCCTCTTGCATTAATCATATATCCTTCATTTTGAAAGATTGCATTTATATATTCCCATGATATAAAAGCAACTGCAAAAGAATTTGAAAACACCACAAATGGTGCAATATAAACTTTCATTAATCGTTCCCGATGAGAGACAACGGATACAGAAGAATTAGTTTTCGTTGAAGTATTAGAAAAAAAAGCACTTGCAATTAAAATAAGATGAAATGCTTCTTTAAAAGAAATAAGAATTTGATTATTACTACCAATATAAAGATGAGGTTCTTTTACCTCTTGTAAATTTATAATTTCTGTTATTGGTAGTTGAGTATTTTTTATTGTTACAGTAATGTCCTCCTTAGGTGTATTTTTATTATAGTCCACATTATACTTTATATCCAATAGAATAATATTTTCTTTTAAAAATACATCAGGAATATCATTATATGTTTCTTGTACCACTAATTCAGGTAATTTGGCAACTAAACATATTTCAGTTGACATATATTTGGTAAACCCATCGTATATCCATGTAATTCTACCATAAGGAACACTAGATCTCACATGCGTATGATTATTCTTTTCAGTAGAAGAATTAGAAGAAATTTTACCCCATGGATAATACAATATGATATTATTCTTTATTTTTATATTAATTATATTTTTTTGTGGCCAAAAAGGAACATTATATACAGAGGAATGAAATGTACGTAACCCAAAATGCACTCTAGAACCAATACTCTTTAATCTATATAATGGGGAACCCAACAAATTGAACTGATATAGAAATTCTTGTAATGCAGGTAAGTGAAAAGTAAAAAAACGTTTCGTAGTAAATATAGTTGTTTTTAACGTAGTATAACAATTCACTTTATCCAATATACTAGGAGGTTTCCACTCCATAACTATTTTAAGGGTTTCTGTATTTGAGTTAGAAGGAATCATTAACATATATTCATCAACATCACAAGAACAATCATTTCCAACCTTAATTATTACATTCATACGGGTATCACTAAAACGTTTCGTCTCAATTATAAGACTATTAGGACTGTTACATTTCAAGATAAAAGGTGACCTCCATGTACATAATGATTCTCCAATAACAACAAAAGAAATATTTCCAAATGAAACAATAACCTCAAGAAAAGGGATTTCCAATTCTTTATCATAAAAAATAGGAGTTACCTCTTTAGCTGGAAAAAATAGTACCCAGATAAGATCATTTAAAAATTCTAGTAAGGCAAGAAAATCAGTATCAAGAACAACATTCCCTTGTTCAAGGGATGTATAAATTACAATATCAGACTTGGAATTCTTTAAAGGTTCTCCTAATAAATGACAGTCCTTGTGGTTATCCCAAGACATAATAAAATTCATACATCCTATATTTAGTAAAGAATCACAAGACATATTTATACAATTGAGAGAAATCAATTGATTTTTACCCAATTTTAAATGTAAAGTAAATTCTTTTATTTGAAGAGGGTTACATTCTTCTAACATATCAATAATAAAAGAAGAAGATTTAAATTCTAACAAACTTAACGCTTCAACCTTATTTGGTGAATTTTCTTGCTTTATCAATTTTGAAATATCATTCAAGAGTAACATAACATCTGAGAGCATATTTCTCAATTTGTAAAAACTTGATAAAACTCCAGAAATATATGACTTTTCTAAAACTAATGAAATACCAATCTCATAAAATAGTGTAAGATTCGTAAGCATAATAAAAGGAGAATTGTTAAGATCAGTAATAAAGAATTGAGAGCACCTTAAAGGTGATACGATATCCAAATCTTTCATAGAAACTTCTATATCCCCAAAATTCATCATAAATTTTTGAATACGTAATTCTTTTTTAGTTTTTAGAGTTATTGGTGTATCCATACCAAAAGAAGACATGGTAGTATTTAATATATTTCCTATTTTAACAATAGAATCATTACATATTATTTCTTCTAACAATAACTTATTATACCATATTTTGAATAAACTTAAGGTTATTGATAGTTCTATATTAATAGATTCTTTTAAATAGGAAAACACTATACCCTCATCAACTTTAGATATACCCATAAGATGACATATAGTCCATTCATCTCGTGTTAAAGATCCTAAAGAAACTTGAATTGAGGATATTGATGATATAGCACGTAATGTTGTTGTACTTGAGTATGTCAACATTAGATTAAAAACGTTAAACCATATCCTAACAACAATATTCTTATCTTCAAGAATAACTAATAACTTGGGAATTTTGATACCAATCGATACATTAGTAGGTATATAGGAAACATTTATAGTACCTTTTAGTACTTCTACAGCTGCTACTTTGTATTCCATGTTTTTATCATATAAAGTATCTCCATAGTATCTAGGAAAAATCTTTCCAAACAGATTAAATTGCTCCAAAGTATATTTGGCCTGTTGTCTAAGTTGAATAAGAGATTCAATTGAAAGAGAATGAATAGCTTTTTTTACTCTCTTTGAATCTATAACTTCTTCAGAAGTCCAAGGAGCCCCTAAAGAAAAAAGATGATACTTATAATACTCTTCACATAGTAACTTCCACTCTTGGTAAAGATTCCAGTCAAATTTACCTCTTTTCTTTAAACGAGGTATATTTAATAAAACTCGATTAAAGATATATTTCCACCATGTTCTACTAGTTTCTTTATTTGTAGAGTTAGGTCTTTCTTTTGGTCTTATTTTAGAGTAAATATCAATTTCTGCTCTTAAAGAAAGAATTTCTCTAGTTATCGCTAACAATGTCTTTACTTTAGATGGGCAAAGATGAACCTCATTACAATTAAGCATAGCGTAGCTACCAAAAGAAAGAGTCGAATTTTCATTATGTATAACACAATGTAATTCAAGAGAAGAAGGTTTTAGAGTGTAGCCATAAGATCCAAGTTCCATTTCAATATCGTCATTTACTTTTTTTTTAAAGTCTCCAATTGTTTTTATTGAACGAAAATTATGTAGAGATTTTCTACAGTCATTAGAAGCGATAGTAAGTGAAACATCTTCAACATTAATAGCACGATGATATTCATTTGAATCTTTAGTAATAAAAACAGGTTTACCTGAAACAGATACAGATGTGCAAGTAAGCTTATTAAGTCTTATAGTAGCACTATTATAGTTATCACCCACTTGAACATAACGTACGCGACAATTCTTTATAATAATAGTAGTATTACGTAAAATGAGTCCCTTAAGCCGTCCAAAGACTGGATAATAATCCCTAGATGCATCTATCACAGGTTTAGGTCCAAATCCTTCCAATAATTCAACTATCTTTTCTTTAACTCTAATCATTTCTTTTTCTTTTTCATCATCATCATTGTTGTCGTCATCGTCGTGGTGGTGGTTGTGGTTGTGGTCAGAAGGTAAAGAAGATGATGATGTTGTTGTAAATACAAGGAGAACGTCCTCCAGTGAAACTTCACATTGCTTTGAATACAAGTTCGTCCAAGGAACCTTTATACGTAGTTTACCTATAACTCCACGTTCAAAAGAAAAGTATGCCCTTAAATAACTAACAACATTGTCATCAAGTTCAACATCTTTTAATTCAATAAAACTTCTTAAAATATTCACAGACAGTGAATCAGTATTCACCTTTTTTATTAAACCATGTAGAAATGTACTAATAAATGATGCCAAATACCTGGTGATAAACATTCAAGAATAACTTCTTTATTCTTAAACATTAATGACTGTTACACCATGGTTATTTTGTTTTAAGAATAAATACATGGTTAAAAATAAATAGAGAGAGAGAGA